ACATATTTTTGAAAATGTAAGCCTTTCGAGAAGAACAATAGTACGACGGATTGAAAATATTTCAGGAAACTTACTTGACCAGCTAAGAACAAAAATTGCTGATTTTACCTATTGTTCTCTGGCTTTAGATGAGTCCTGCAATATTACTGATACAAGTCAATTATTAATATTTATTCGCGGCATTAACAAGAAATGTGAAATTAGCGAGGAATTTCTTAGTGTGCATCCAATGAAAGATACAACTACTGGTGAAGACTTCTTTCTCTCTGTTGAAGAGTGTTTAGTGAAAGTAAGTTTAACTTGGAATAAAATAGTAAGCGTCACTACGACGGTTGTCCTAGTTTAACAGGAAGAATGTAGGTTAACTTAAACGAATTCGCGACAAAGTAAAAGAGTTACAACCAGAACACGATATATTATTTTTGCACTGTATTATTCATCAAGAAGTGCTATGCAGAAAAGTTTTGAAATTGAATCACGTCGTTATTGTTGTGACCAAAGTTGTGAATTTTATCCGAGGACGTGCCGTAAATCATCGACAGTTTGTTGAATTTTTGAAATAAATTGAAAGTGACTTCTACGAAATTCCTTATTACACTGAATGAGATGGCTTAGCATTGGTAAAGTTTTGGACAGATTTCAATATTTGCTTGATGAAATAGTATCCTTCTTGTCGATAAAAGAAAAAACTACATGATTTTCCTGAATTGCAAAATAAGGCTTGGCTAAAAGATTTCTCGTTTTCATTAGATATCGTAAAATATTTGAATGAACTAAAGATAAATCTACAAGGGAAAAACCAATTCGCTTTCAATATGCACTCAAACGTTAAAGCATATATATATATATATATATATATATATATAATATATATATATATATATATATATATATATATATAAAATCATTTTTCCGGCGACACTTGTAGGGCTTTGATCGGTAACTTCATTTACACTACTTTTATAATTTTTATTAATATCACTTATAATGCTACCTAAAGTTAAAATCAAAGCTTAATAATCATAAAATAGTTGGAAGTTATCTATGATTTTCTTGGTTCTTGCTCACTAATTAACATTAAATAACATTTAATTTACTTTAGACCACATGGTCATTTGCTGTGCTAATTTTATAAGTTCATATATGTTGTTAGTTACTTAATTGTTTATACAAAATCAGCGTATTATGTCCATTTACTTAGTTTCATTCACAATATTGTTAATAACATTGACTGCTACATGTCTTTTTAAGATGAACTGATGATGCTTTCAAAACTCGAAAGCGAAACGTCTTCAAAATAGACAAAGTAGCCTATCAACTTTGTCTTTTATTTCTCCACCTAGAGACCGATATAAGAACCCACCACTCGTCTGAGTGATCCTTATATATATATATATATATATATATATATATAATATATATATATATATATATATATATAGTACCAAGATTCCTAAGAGGAACATAGGGCTTCCACAAAGTGTCTTCAGCGAACTCTATTTCTGGCTAGTGCTTTGATTTCAAGCCAGGATTTTCCCATTTTTCTCCCTTCGTCCAGTACTGTCCTTCTCCAAGTTCCCTTAGGTCTGCCTACTTTCCGTCGGCCTTGGGGATTCCAATCCAGCGCTGTCCTGGCAATGTCATTTGGCGGTCTACGGAGTGTGTGGCCCAGCCATCTCCATTTTCTTCGCCTTATTTGCTTTATGACATTTTCTTGGTTGCTTTGGTTCCATAAATTTTCATTGGAGATTCGGTTAGGCCAAAATATACGAAGTATTTTTCGTAACGCTCTATTGATGAAAACTTGTAATTGGTGTACTATGGGTGCTGATATCTTCCACGTTTCGCTTTTTTCCATACAGCTTTTACATTTGTGTTGAAGATTTTTAATTTCCTTTTAGTTGGGTAAATCCTGGATTTCCATATGTTGTTAAGCATGTTGTAGGCGTTGCGAGCCTTATTTATTCTTTCATGTACATCACGCTCTGTACCCCCATTACAGTCAATTATGCTGCCCAGATATACAAATTCCGCTACTCTCTCAATTTTCTAGTCGTTGATCATAATAGGTTGGTTGTTTCTGGTACCAAATCGCATTTCTTTGGTTATAGCATTAAAGCAAAAATTAAAGCATATATGACAAAGCTCAATTTATTTGGTGAAAACTTTAATAATAAATTATTAAATCATTTCCCCTCATTGCAAGCACGGCGAGAATCATTAAAAAATACAGATTTTTTTAAATATTGTGCAATAACACAAGACCTGCATTCTGAATTCCAAAGAAGATTTCAAGATTACAAAGCTATTGAAAAACCTTTATGATTAATTAGCCGACCTTTCAATTTCGATGTGCAAGAAGCTTCTGTTGAAATTCAACTAGAACTAATTGACTTACAATCAAATAATTTACTAAAAGAAAATTTTCACTCAAACGAATTGAGTGCTTTCTATGGCGCTTTGAATAACGAACATTTCAAACATTTTTTGAACTATGTTCAAAAATACCTTGTTTTATTTGGTTCGACATATACTTGTGAAAGAACTTTTTCTTTAACGGTTTCCACGAAAAATAAATATCGATCACAAATTACTGACGAAAATCTACACTCGGTATTAAGGATTGCTACAAGTGATTTGGAACCCAATTTTGAAGAAATAATGTCAGATGAACATTCGAGATTTCACGTTTCGCATTAACTTAAAATATTTATTTTAACGTTTGATGTTTTTCTTTTCTTTTTTGAATTCTATTTACTATTATATTTACGAAATGCAATATACATGTTAAATTGTAATAACTTTGTATCAATATAAAATAATTTGTATCGTTAAGACATAAATAAGTAACAAAATAAAATCTTTCATTGACTGGTTTACCTAATAGCCATTTATTTATAATAATATTTCTTTAAAAATTACGTGACATATTTTATTAAAATTGAAATGATACTTAGTGTTTTTGTCAAAAAAAAAAAAAATGGGCAGGGAAAAAACTCCATCCAAAACATCCGCTTGTGCAAAGCATAGGCTGTATAGTCCTCCGGCTCGGGAGATATTTTGAAAATTTCATTTTGGCCCGCGCTTTAAAGTAGTTGCCCACCCCTGCTCTAGAGGAATTATATTTAGGAGCTAAAGTCCAACTATCTTTAGAAAGACTAAATGAATCAGATAGACTTATTTTAGAAAACGGTGTCTGGAATTTTTTATAGAAGCTGCTAAACAAATTATCCAAAATTTTGATTTTGACGATCCTATTTTAATCAATATAAAGAATGTATTAGAGAAAAAAAGTCACAGTATAGTACCACTTGCGAGACATTTCCCAAATTTAGTATCGGAAAATGAATTACAACTTTTGGATAATGAGTGGCGGCTTCTTAGAAATACTTATACTCGATTCCGATGAAAATGTAGATACTAAACACTTTTGGGCAAATATTGAAAATATGCTGTATGGAGATGGAACCTCCATGTTTCCGGTTTTAAGCAGATTTATTTTTAATTTGTTAGTTTTACCTCATTCATCAGCGAATGTGGAAAGAGTATTTTCCGACATAAATTTAATGAAAACTGATGAAAGAAATAATCTTTCGTCAGTTTGGGTCATCTGCATACTAAAAATTTCCTTAAAACCAGAAAATCATATTGCTACGTTATTTTTCCAAAAGAAGTTCTGAATTTACATAATAATAATAATATGTATAAAAAACAGTTACAGACATTAATTATTTATTTAAAAATCTTATTAGTAATTAAGTAGGTAGCTCAGTTTTTCTTTGTTTGTAAGTATGATGTATGTATTATTTATAAATGTTAGCAAATATGTAGGCTAACTCATGTAGACCCAATAGTTTACGTATAATCTTCCTGAAATTATTGTAGCTGAATACATTTAATATTGTCCGTATTAACAAGCAAAACTAAAGTTTTTTGTGCATTTTTAGAAAACGAACATTTTTCAAAAAATCGACGTATGAAGCTATTTTGCAATAATTAAGCAATAAATTAACAAAAACAACTTAACAACCTCTCATTTTAAAGGATTTTTCATGCTGTTTCAGTAAAATTTTGTCACTTTTACATAAATATCTTCACCCTAAGTGTTTAAAATTAAAGATAAATATTACACTCTTTATAATATGTGTAAAAAATTGCGTTTAAGCGTTTGCATATTTTGTTTATTACATATTGTTATCACCAAATTTATCAAAAGCAATTGTTAGATACCTGCATCCAGGAGTGTCATGGGAAAATTCTTAATTACCTAATCTATATAAGATGTTTAAATTCAATACTGTGGCCCAAAGATATATTTTGAGAAAGAAAACACATATTCAAACTCAGTCTTTAAAAGCAGTATCAATATTAGAAATATTATCAATAATAATTTTGTTTCAGATACGGTCTTAAATTGCATGTTGGAGTTTTTTAAGGCTTTAATCTTATGTAATTTTCCAAAAATGTCTTATCAAATTTTGTCGAACCAACTTTCGGTACTAGTAACCACTGTCGCATCAAACTCAAATCGCTTTGTTTACGAGAAGCCATTCCATTCACTAAATATATATAATATATATATATATATATATATATATATATATATATATATATATATATATATATATATATATAAACAACCACCCTTATCTAAGATGTAGAAAAAATTGCGTGAACAAACATCGACCTTTTTTTAATCCTAACAGATTTTTCTTTTCAAAACAGTTAAATAATGTTTATTTTTGAAAATTTAATTTAAATAATTAATTTTCAAAATGGCTAATCTACATTTACTTGTAGGGCCAAATTATTAAGATAATGCGCAATCCATTACTTCATCGTGTAGCTATATTATGACGGTAACAAGAATATCTGCACTACCAGTACCTTTGTCTTGTAAAAACTTGTAAAAACAACCTTCTCAAACTGCGATATTAAGTCATCTACATCGACCTATATCAATACCGCGACAGCAAGAAATAAATTATTTAATTTTAAATATGATTATAAACGATTTACAACCGATTTCCAACGTTGAAGATAATGGTTTCAGAGCACTAATCACTGGCATTGAACCATACTATACTATGCCCAGTCGATTTACATTTGCAAATTCATTTTTGCCCCAAAAATTTCGACAAAAAACTGAAAAGTTAAAAGTTTTGTTATCCAAGACTACTTCAGTTGCGATCACCACGGATGCTTGGACTGCTCAACATAGTCAAACTGGTTATATAGGTTACACAGTTCATTTTATTACAGAATATTGGGGCCTTTATTCCAGTTTATTAAAGTGCCATTTTGACGAGAGTCATACCGCACAAAATTTAAAAGATGATTTATGTAATGTTATTAATGAATGGGATATTTTAAAAAAAGTGTACACAATAACGACAGATAATGCTGCAAATATAAAGGCAGCAATAAAGTTGGCTGAGTAGGGCCACATTGGATGTTTTGTTCATTCGATCGACTTAATTGTTCAGAGTGGATTAGAAACATGTGATGTCTCCCCATTAAAAAAAAAGGTTAAGACAATAGTAGAGTGTTTCCATAGAAGTACAAAAGCCAACAATAAATTTATAGCTATGCAAGCCCAAATGAATGAGAGTGAACGAACACCATTAAAGTTAAAAAACGATGTAGTCACGAGATGGAACTCAACGTATTTTATGTTTGAGCGATTTTTAAAAACTCGCGAGCCTCCAACTGCAACAATAGGAATCTTGCAGATTTCTGTAGAACTGTTAACAGAATCTGAATGGCTGGCATTAAAAGAAATTTGTTGTCTGTTAAAGCCGTTTGAACAACTTACCACAGAAATCAGTGCCGAAAAAAACTATAACTTTATCCAAGGTAATTGTTATTGTAGAGGGTCTGGTATCAGCTATCCAGAAAATTAAACAGATTCTAACAAGCACTAACATTAAATCTCTTATCACTCATTATGAGAAAGAAATAGCTACAAGATTCTCTTCTGCATAATCGAACATTTTAATGGAAAAATGTTCTTTGTTAGACCCTAGGTTTAAAACCAAAGTGTTTAATTCAGAGTATAACTGCAATATTGCAAAAGAGCGTCTTCAAAATGAGGTGGCTCAATTAATTAATTCAGAACGACGGCCGGATAATATAGTAGTTATTGTCAATGATGAAAAGACCGAAGAAGAAACTGCCACAAACGATGAACAAAATCTAGTTTGGGAAGAGTTTGATAAGGCCATAGAAACACCATAAGGCATATTTATCAGAAAATCTTATTCATAGGGAAGAAAACCCCATAGATTGGTGGAAAACCAGAGCTTTAGTATATCCACATTAGGGATGGGCGGTATATAACGTAATAGGATTGATAACACTATTACCATGCGGTAACCGTTACCGTGGTAACAGGTGACAGCGAACAACCTATTTTTTTTGTCACGTATTCCTCTCTGGACTGGAAACGAAAAACGAACGAGGAACTGAACACTGCACACTGACGCACTGGTCACTGGTCGCGTTTCGTTCCCGTTACCACCCGTCACTTGAATAAAAAGAAAAGAAAAAAGAGTAGGTTCGTCCGTCTGTCACCATGTGATCATAACCATATTGAAAGTTGTTGCAAACACAGATTTTATTCTTTTATTTTGACAAATGACATTAAATATTTATATATACATATATATATATATATATATATATATATATATATATATATATATATATATATATATATATATATATAAATAATCTATAAAATTGTATTTGTTACCTGTAATAATATCCTATAATATAAATTAAAATAAGATCATTCAAAAGTGTAAAACGTTGAATTCAATTATTTTATCATTTAAAGAATACCATAATCCATAATACTCCTTATAATATGGAAGTGCAATTATTAGAAGTAGCTATTTTAGGAGTTGTACTTTTGCATATTATGGATATATCAAATAGGGAATTTATGGACAATGTATTATTAGGAAATAGTGGATATCCAGTTCTTAACTACCATTGTAGAATCTTCAGACAGCAGTTGAAGTGCTGTATAATCTATCACAAATTGCTTCAAGAATTGTTAATGAAAGAACTTTTGGTATTTTGAAGAGATTTTCCATTTTAACATGTGGAATAAGATGCAAGTTACGTTTTGTTCAAAGAATAATACCTAACAGCTTGTTCAGTTTTACATAAAATTGCAGTAGTTAATAGAGAAAACATTGAAATACTGCCAAATGAGGGTGCTGTTAATATTTGAGTGTAGTACTTTTGATTAAAAACTTTTCATTTATAAATTCCAATCTATAAGCCATTAAAATTTTAAAAATAAAACTCATTTTAATAATTTACATAGGATTTTTAATATACATTAATTTAATACATTTTAATAAACAGGATTTTAATAAAACTCATTGTAGGAGAATATTTAGTAATGCTTGATTGAATTTTTTTTATTTGTTGCAGAACTAAATAGATTTAAAAAGCCGTAAAATTGATATAATTCTTTATAGAATTTTTCCCGATTAGCCATGTCTATAATGTTACCTAATAGTACACTGACTGTAAATATTAACCTTTGTAAACGCTGCTGTAATCCTTAATCATGGAAATTGGAAATCTAAGGTTGAAAAATTAGGTTGGTACAAATTTTTTTTATATTATATGATCTGTGCCTAAATTGCAACACTGTTTCAAAATAAAATTACCATTTCCGGTAGTTTTGCAAATGCCTAAAGGGTGAAGTCATTTCGTAAAAATGAAAACGGTATACAAACTGCCAAGTCATTACGAAAATGACTAGGCTTTTGCAAGAATGCCTGCATTTCATACTTGCCTACGACAGATACACCTTATAGGTATATCTGTAATGAAAATGTCAAATATATTGAATTTAATAAATCAGTTACAAAGATATTCTATGTCTGATCTCTGTTTATTAAACACTTTAAAATTAGTTAGAAATTACTGATATTTAAATTCCTTTTTACAAACTTTTTGTAATATCTCAAGCTTCAATAAAAATGTTCTTTTTTAAATCGATTTGGGTCAAAACATTAATAACCTATATATAAGAATAAACTTTTATTTAAAATTTTAAGGGATCAATTCAAGTGAGGATGAGAGTGGTCCATAAAAAATATTCTAAATAAAGAGTCTCGTTACTCTCGTTATATCCTTACAAAACGACAATATTTTACTAAACCATTGAAAGGGCAGATATTGTAAAAACAGATAAAGAAGCTGTAACATCTGTTTTGCATTTACTAGCTATGAAAGACTGACCAAGAGTTGATCTTTTCACAAATACAACCTTTTTAAGAACAAAGAACACAAAGCAATAATAGATCAGACAGGTTGAAAACTCAAAATGTGTTTGTTTTGTTGATGTTTGATTGATGAACTAATTACGACGTTGTCAGTTTTTAACAGCAGTCCGAGACTTGCAGAAAAAGCTAGCAGTGTGAAAAAATTATGGAAAAAATATGCGATATTTTTGTGAGATTTGAATCAAAGTGATAAGAGCGACTGTAGGTAGATAAGCCTCGAGAAAACTGACAATCGAAAGACCACATAAGAGAGGGAGAGAGAGAGAAGAAGAGATCCAGGCTCGAAGATAGACAAAAGTATTTTAATAGTTTTAAAATGTTCGAATAATTATTTGAACATCACTGTTACAGAAATAAATGAATTACTTAAGTTTTGAGAAGTTCACACTGAGGAATGATAAACTGATTCGCTCAATAGGTAAATTCAAAAATTACCATCTTCAGTCTGCCTGTGCTGAACTGGCAACACATCTCTTATTTTTGCTATACGATATACGATTCCTCGGTCGGGGTCGGGGGTTTACAACCAACAACTTATGCATATGCAGTACTCAAATAAGTAGATGTGTTGCTGGTGTGTATATTTCGCTTGTAGTTAGATTTTTATTTAAAATATATTGTGGGAATATTATAGTTTAATCAACTTAGTTATAAATAGACAAATTGTTTTATGAATTAGACATTATGAATAAACAAAAAACTAGTTATTTGTGGTCGTATTTTACAACAACAGACCAAGTGAAAAAAATCGCAAAATGTGATTTATGTGGACAGTTACAAAGTTACAAAACAACCGTTACCAATTTAAGAAAACGCATGGAGAGAAGACATCCAGCAGTAAGTACCTACTTTAGGCAAACAAACTATAAACAAACATACTTTTAAAACTTCCTCTTCCAATGTTGTTCAACCCTCCTCTGCATCTGCGGATCTTTCTTCATCTGTACCATGTTCTAGTACTAGTAACGAAAATAATATTATGCATGTTGACAACTGCACTGACAAGTCAATCCTCCGTTTTAATGTTCCAAATAATCAAAGTTGCATAAGACAGCATTTCGTTCAACAATCTAAAAAGATTAGTGCAACACAAAAAAAGAAGTTTGATAAAATACTTTTAGATTTGTTTGTTACGGACTATCAACCGTTTTCAATTGTAGAGGATAAGGGTTTTGTAAAATTTGTAAATGCATTGAATCCTGATTACCAACTCCCAAACAGAAAAACCTTATCTCATACCATGATTCCTGCAGAATACGAAATCTGTTTAAATTCAGTAAAACAGGAATTACTTTCATCAAAAAGTGTGTGTTTGACTACCGATACTTGGACATCAATTAACACAGAAAGTTATTTAGCAGTAACTGGCCATTACATAACCGATGACTTTGAAATGAAATCAGTTTTAGTAGAATTGTCAATCATGAGATCTGCACACACAAGTATTAATTTGGCGTCCGAAATACAGAGAATTATGGAGAAATTTCACCTAAACGACAAAGTTGTTATAATTGTCTCAGACAATGCAAGCAATATTGAAGGTGCCGTGACAAAAGAATTAAAATTAAAACATTGTGGGTGTTTAGCACATACAATAAATTTAGTATTACAGGATGCATTAAAATTATCTGAAAATATAATTGTAAATGTTAAAAGTATTGTTACTTATTTTAAAAAAAGTTCAAGTGGAACTGATAAATTGAACTCTTCCAACAAAATATGGGCCTGGAGCCAAAAAAGCTAATACAAGAGGTGTCGACCGGGTGGAACTCCACCTTCTACATGCTGGAGAGGATGGTGGAATTACGAGATGCTGTAAAAACAACAATAGCATCAATAAATAAAAAAGACCTTCCAGTATTAACCGAAGAAGAATGGAGCACATGTTCGGAACTTGTCACAGCTCTTAAACCATTTGAGGATGTCACTCGAGCCATTAGTGGCGAACACTACCTGACAGGTAGTAAAGTCGTTGGCCTCACAAATGGACTAATTTCAGTATGCCGGAAAATGCTGAATGAGCCCTTTAATGATACAACAAATAGAGTCCTAAATAAATTGCTCAGTGCACTCAAAACACGAATGGTTAATATAGAACAAAGTAAAACCATTGCACTAACTTCTTTATTAGACTCCAGGTTCAAACTAGCAGTTTTTAAAGACCAAACAGCTGCTGAAGAAATAAAAAAACACTGTTCACAATTGATGGCCCGTATTTGGATAGAACAGCAACAGAACAGACCCACGATGACAACAATCAACCCTGTGTCAGATACGAACATTGATGTAGTCAGCAGTGAAGCCGGTGAAGTAAACCGTGAACAACCAAAGTTTTCTGTGTGGGAAGATCTGGATTTGATGATAGCATCAAAAAAGCCTACAGGTAATAATTAGCATTACTATATTTATATTGCCATTTAAATTCTTCCCAAAATGTAGATTTATATATATGTATATATATATATATATATATATATATATATATATATATATATATATATAATATATAATATAAAATTAGTGTTTCTTGGGTTTAGGTTCAATAAAGATTTATTATATGTATAACCAGATTTTATTTTCCATAACAATCAACGTTTCGGCAGGTAACCCTTGCCTTTGTCAAGATTCTAAAATGTAATGCATAATGCATAAGGACAAGCAGATATTGTAAAATATATATATATATATATATATATATATATATATATATATATATATATATATATATATATATGCCTTACCGAAACGTAAAACGTGACACAGACATTAACGAACTGACAAATAAAAGTTGATATCTGATATCTCATGGTTTACTGCCATTAGTATATAATTATTTTTATATGGGCGTATCGTTGATGTTTTCGAAAAAGGTAAAGTGGAGATATGTTATGACTTTAAGAGCTTTTTATGATGTTTATTATTATTATTTAAATTAGATTGAAATATATTTTATTTAGGTTTTGTGTATCTTTTTTGTCATTTATTGCGTTGATATTTCTTTTTTATTTCTATTGATTCGTATATCTCCCTCTTCTTTTTATTTTGTTCTGTTTTTAAAATGTTTATGTTTTCAAAATTAAATTTATGCTTCTTCTCACTTTTATGTTTTGTGAGCGCAGTGACGTTGATTGTTATGGAAAATAAAATCTAGTTCCACATATATCTTTAATGAACCTAAACCCAAGAAACACTAATTTTATATTAAATATAATACGGTTCAAGAAACTCACAACTACAATATATATATATATATATATATATATTATATATATATATATATATATATATATATATATATATATATCATACATAATTTGATAATAAATAAATGGGGGTGTATTCAAAAAAACGTTTTTACACATCGATTGGTAATTTTAGTTGAGCATATTTTGCAATAAAAAAAATTCATACTGGGTGTGTCATGTAACTTATAGTGGCCGATACAAACTCTCTTATTTTAAATGCAAAACTCTGTATATTATTCAGTTTTCGGATTACCGAAAATATTGTAGATATATTTCATGTACAATGTCCTATACCTATCTTTAAGTGTTTTGGAAATATTAAGCGTTTTTCGATATTTTTTTAGACAATATTTTTTACATATTCCCATAAGAAGAATGGCCATTCCATCGATCCTCGCCTTCTTATATACTGATTTATGAATAATTCGGTTAAGGTACTGCCTAACATTGATTTGGTAATGGGGTAGTGGTCCATATTGCTGAAAGTATATCATATTCGCTTGAACTTGTGGGTTTGCTGGATCAGGATGTAAGTTTGCCAAACATTATTTTTGTTAAGCGCTAAATAATTATTGCCATTCAAATTACCATTAATAAAACAGAGTCGGTCCTATGATATGATCTTTTACAATTCCTGCCCATACCTTTTCAAGGTATTGTATATGTTCTTCTCTCATGCAGTGAGGATTTTCCCTAAATCAAAAGCGACAATTCTGACAAATAGCATGCCCGTGAATTGTAAAAGTACACTCATCAGAAAACAAAACATGTTCTAATTGGATCAGATTGTTATTTAACATGCCATCATTTATACTCAAAAATATGTTCTACTATCAAAGTCGTCTTCCATGACGACTTCTTCCAATTTGAAAATGTTTCATAAAATAAGCAAGCAATATCCATTTGTGTTCGTGTGTTGTATCCATAACCAATCATCTGTAGACTCGTTTTATGAATTCTGTTCAGTGAATCATTGTTTTGATTTGCAATTAACGAAATTCAAACGACTGTCATGTTCAAACGACTGATAACTACTGTCATGTTGACAGAAAACAACTTGGTAGAGTCAATCGTTTTAGACTAAAATATAAAAAACTATTATAAAAAAGTGGTACTTAAGCCGGTACTTTAACTGTAGACTAGCACGAAACTTTATACTATGTTTTCTGTTTTTTAAATTTTAAATATATTTTTAAAATTAAATAAAGTAATTTTATTCTTTATTTATTATTTTTATTTTAAGATTTGTTTTACAATCATCGATTTACAAAGTTTATTTATTTATTCTAACAATTTTCTGTTTATTCCAAAGTACATAAATTCCTGTTAGTTAATATCCTTGTTATAGATTTTAATAAAATAAAAAATTTTACATGTTGTATAACAGACTCTCCTTCTGGCATAAATAGACTTTTCCAACTATCAGGTGTTTTAGACTAAAATAAATAAAACTATTATAAAGAATATTTGTGTTTTTCAATACAAGTAAAAAGGAACGCTGAAATAGTTTTTATTTACTGACATTATCAAGACCTTTGAAATAAGTTGATATTGGCCAATGTTACATGACACACCCTGTACAAAAAGTTTTTATTAAAAAATATGCGCAACTAAAAATACCAATCGACCTATCCAATCGTTTTTTTGAACTTGCCCCCATTTATTAATTATTGATTTATTTATTTATTATTTTAATTAATTAATTAATTCAAATGGAATTTATTCCATTTGACTGTTCCTCCCTATATATATATATATATATATATATATATATATATATATATATATATATATATATATATATATATATATATATATATAATTATTTGTAATTTTAGGAACCAAATCATCTGCAGCCATGGTGGAAACATAATAAATATTTATATCCTTTGATGGCATCAGTAGTTAAATCCAAATTCTATGTCATGGCAACTTCAGTACCATGCGAACGGCTATTTTCCAAAGCCGGTAACATAATTACAGAACGTCGTTCCAGATTATCGGCTAAGCGTACTGAACAAATTTTAATTTTAAATTGAAATAGACAGCACTGTACGTAAAACAAAATTAATCAATAACAAATATTATGACTTCATTAATAAATAAGATGCTAACAAAAGTCTTTTTGTATAAGTATAAATCCCATAACGAAATAGCTTCAATAGCTTGGTATTTGGTATTCCGTTCTGTAACTGTAACGAAATAGCTCGTCGTTTCGGCCCGGTGCCCGGCAAGGCAAGAACGCATGGGACGATGAGAGTTATCTGTCACGCATCTGGTAATATATGGCAAAAATAATAGGTGACTGTCACCTATTACCGCGTTGTCTCGTAACGTTGAGAACGCGTTACCATTAAATAGCGGTAATTTCCATCTTTAATCCACATTTAGCTCAATTGGCGAAAAAGTATGGTCACTGCGCTAGATCGCGACCATGCGCTAGTTCTCGACCATTTTAGCATTAAAGTACAAATAAATAAGAAACTAATTCATATCGGGCGCCAAAATGGGTCAAATCAATTTTCGTTAAGTTTCGCCGATCGTAAAAAGTCGGCTCGTGTAACATTAAATAACCGCTTTTCCCGCAAAAATTCAGTTGAGAAGTGGCTGTCAGAGCAGTAGCATGATGTTTGTTCTTAAGTACAAAAGTGTTAAGTGATTTCAGGATAGAAAATAGTAAGTAAATGTTTACAAATTTAATCAAATAAGCGTTTTTTTTTATTTTATATAGTTAAGGGGGCTTTTCTTAATATATTTTTAAAGAAAAAATGTAAAAAAGTTAATTTTTTTGTTAAATAATGAGTGGTCGCGAACTAGGTTCCGAATTTTAACCGTTTTTAGTTCTCGACCAGATGGTCGAGAATTGAAGTTTGGCGACCATTATATTTTTGTCAGTTAAACGTTTTAAAAACAGTTGTTCAATTTTTTTTTATAAAACTTAAATTAAATAATATTTGTTTTTTTTTAATTTTAGTTTGCGACCACTTCATTCTTTTTATAATATATGTAAAATTGGCAATAAACCTTGGTGGTCGAAAACTAATTTAATCCAACTCAATTCGCGACCACAAAAGTATTTTGTCAGTCGAGAACTAGTTTAGAGTCATATAATTCTCGTCCACTTGATTTCCCCTTTGTGGCCTAGGTAGGAATGAATAAATAGAGGTACTATCATGGGCTCAAGAGATCTCCAAAAATGTGGTAAACTAGAAATATAAACCGTGATCTTACCTACTATTACTGTAGGAAATTCTACTTTTGCGCATACATACCCTACCTAATGCATGATTGTTTTTTTTTATGGCACGTGTTCAGAAAAAATCTAGAGGAAACCCCTGAAAAAAAGAACTCAGAAAAGAAGAATGTTTCAGTATTCTGAAGAGGACCTAAAAAATGCTCTTGCAGACATAAGAGAAAATGGTACTAAAATTAGAGAAGCCAGCAGGAAGTTCCTAGTCCCAAAAACCACTTTAATTGACAGGCTATCTGGAAGAAGACCGGAGAAGTTAAACAAAACTGGACCTTCACCAATCCTGACCGAAGAAGGAGAAAAGCGAATTACAGAATGGGTCATAAATCTAGCCAAATGCGGATTTCCCGTAAAAATATATATGCTTCTTGATACTGTAGCAAAAATATCTAAAGAGACGAATAAAGAACTTTTTAAAAATAATATGCCGGGACAAACCTAATATCAGGGATTTTTAAAGAGAAATCCCGAAATTTCTTTACGGGAAGCTGAAAGTACCAATAAAGCAAGGGCTGTAGTAAGCGCATTTACCATAAGAAAATGGTTCTTGGAATTGGAAAACTTCTTAAAAGAAAACAACTTGCTTAATATCTTTGGTGATCCAACGAGAATTTTTAATTGCGATGAGTCAGGGTTTTGCCTTTGTCCAAAATCAGGAAAAGTTTTGGGACCTAAAGCGTATAAAAATTTGTACAGTATCAAACTTGGGAATGAAAAAGAGAACATAACTGTTCTTATGATGTATAATGCTAGTGGAAAAATATGTCCGCCCTTAGTTTTATTTCCATATGTTAAGCCTCCAAAATCAGTAGTTGAAAATATGCCAGATGGATGGATCTTAGGAAAATCAGAAAAAGGATGGATGACATCCGATGTCTTCTTCGAATATATCGTACATGATTTCAACATATGGGCACTGGAGAACAATATTCCTAGGCCACTGATTCTGTTTATTGATGGACATAAGTCACACATGTCATTAGCCCTAAGTAAATGGTGCCAAGAAAATCAAGTTGTATTATATGCTTTGCCGCCGAATACCACACACATGCAACCTGCCGACGTCAGTGTATTCCGGCCAATGAAATCGGACTCTAAGAAAACTATTCGAAATTGGCAAAACCGATCAGAAAATATTAATTGTTCTGTGACAAAAGTAAATTTTTGTGACATATTTAACGAGGTGTTGTCCAACACAGAGGTACTTGAACAAAATATCAAAAACGGTTTTAGAAAATCTGGTCTATTTCCATTAGATCCAAATGCTTTTGACTACACAAAATGTGTAAAGGATATTGCAGAAAATATCAGAACTACGACAACAAAATCGAAACGATCCAGTGAAGGGAGCATTTGTCAAAGAGACATTAGATCAGCAAAAAAAGTAATTTTAAATGAAATTAATTTCCTACAAGAAACCATTGATAAGTTCCCACCCAAACGAAAAAGCTCTGATAAAAAGGCGTCACCAAAAAAAACTCCATTAGCTAAACCGCTGAATACTAAAACCTCTATTAATTATGAAAACAGTAAATCAACATTACAACCTTCTGAGCTGATGGATCATGATTTAACAGCAAACGACAACGTGGATAATATATTAGTGGGTAATACATTACCTTCTGAGCTGAAGAATCATGATTAACCAACAAAATACAATGCGGATAAGACATTGCTATCTGAGCTGATGGATCATGATATAATAAATTACCAACAAACGACGATATGGATAATACATTTGATACGTTGCCAGATATAAGTTTTGGTTCCACCTTTACATCAACTTTTATTAACGACATTCAGAGATTTGGTCCTACCACTGATTTAATAGGTGATATTTCAGACTTTGATCAAAACCGTACAAACGACATGATCAATACTAATAGCAAAACCGACATTTCCGATAGAGACTTGAACGCCAAAACACATTCCAATAATGACAATGAATGAGAAGTCATTACTATTAACGGCGGTAATATCTCTGAAAGTGACCATATCATTAACAATATTAATTACCATTATAAAACAAACTATGATCCGAGGAAGTCAGAAGACACTGACACAAGTGCCACAAAAGATACTGTGCCTAACCCAGATATTTACCTTAACCCTATAGCCAGTTCTAGTAATCGCAATTACCCAGAAAATGAACATTCGCAATCGATTAAAATATTAAAACCAGTTACTAACACATTGCCTCCACTGCTAACCAAGGCATTTTATAATCATTTAAAAACTCCCAGTGCTATTTCCTCAAGTGAATGGAGAAAATTTTACCAAGAAAAGGAAAATGACAAAAAGATAAAGATACTTGACATAGCTAAAAAGAAGGAAGAAAGAGAAAGGTTAAGGGGAAATAAACAGAAAAAAACTGCAAAAGCCAAAGAGACCAAAACCAAACAGAAGAAACCAAAGAAAAAACAAAACACTAAAATTTCTGAGAAAATATCTTGTGCAGATTGTAATGAAGCGATACAGAAGACGATGACAAAGAAAAATATAGGATGCGATTTATGTGATAAATGGTATCACAAAAAATGTACCACTTTTGTAGACACCCCATATTATATCGCGGCAGTTCAAGATTACAAATGTGACAAATGCTCAGACAGGTATTAATTGATTAGGTACCTAAAAGTTTTGATATAAATATATACCTCCTCTTTTTGCTATTTTTTTGGTTGCAATCTTAGTTTTGTTAATTAAGTACTAGTAGGTAGTAGGTATAGGTTAAAATTTTTTGTGATTCGTACCTATCAAACCTAGTTATGTTTTTTGGAAGGTAACCTACTTAGTTTTTACTTTTAAGTTTTTAAAACTAAATTCCTATAAATACATACAGTCGGTCCGCCCGATCTTTGCACATGCATGACATTATTCACGATATATTTTTTATGTTACGTCTCTTTCCTACTCACAGAAACTAAAACTATTAACTTAAACCGCCTGTCCATACACAACACCATGTATTGAACAAAGACAGCCATAGAACAATGATCGCTGATTGATTCGTCTAGTGACAATTGACATGACAATTGGAAATTTTGTTTTGACAGAATTTGTAATATTTTTACAAATTATTTTCGTTTGATTTAAGTAATCAATCCTTTTTCATACTTTAAATATACATATTTTTGAACAAACAGTTGTTATAACGACTAACCCTTACCTTCGTGTTCAATTTATTAAGGTAGGAATTCATGTATTAGCTAATAACGAATAATATATTGTTTTAACCTCTAAATTGACATTAATCATTTAAATATAGCTAAAACTACGTCAACGGACAATATGAAATATTTTTCAAGGTTTTTATTTTTAGAGTATGCCAGACAAGCCTTTGACTTCACAAGCTCAGCAACTTGTGTTGAATGTGTTGGAGTATTTCGAATTAGAAAAAGTAAATGGGGGGCCTTTGGAGCCATTTTCATCTGTTCAACAGGTAACATATTGAAATGTATGTTCGTTTATAAAAATCATTAAACACTTCTTAATTTAAAAGAGTAGCTGCTTCATTAAAAATATCACGAAGAACAGTATTTACAATTATTAAAAGGAAAGAAAATAATCACATTCTTTCAAAGCCAGGCAAAAGTAGACCTCGTCTGAAAAACAAAACAACTGATCTATATGAGGGATCAAAAATGGCAGTGCGTAACACAGTATACGACATGTACCAACAAAGTAGTTCAATCAATTTCTTCAATCTGAATTTGATATACCATAAGATAATGGTATCATGTACCATGATAACCAGAAGGTACTTTTTAATCAATACTTTATATAAGTAAATGTTGTAAAAAACGATTGTTGAGAGTAGTTTAAAAAAAAAATCTGCTGAATACATTAATGGATATTAAGTCAATTTTCTTGTGAGTTTTTTATTTGAAATAATTTATAGTTTTATAAAAACAAAGTATTAATTTTTTTGAATTGAACTAGTTATAACAGTGTGGTTTGTTACTCTGCAAAGTATAAGTAATGAATTAAGGGATAAAGAAGTTGCATTTATTGGCAAAACATCTGTTAGCATTTTGTTAATAGAATTGGGATTTAAATATGAGAAGGACAATAATCGAAGAGCATTAATTGAGCGTACCAGTATTGCTGCTTTAAGAGCCAAGTTCCTTCGTAAATATATGGAAAATATTAATACCATGTATCCCAGAGACCTTGTTTTTTTTTTGGACGAAACGTGGATCTATTCAAAGGGAAATAAAACAATTTCCTGGCAAAACAACAGTGTTAAAAGTGTACGTAAACCGCAAGGGCATGATGGTAACCAATTTATAATTGTTTACGCTGGTTCTTCGAAAGGATTTGTTACTGAAGCAAGTTTATTATTTTGCTCAAAATCTAAAGTAGCTGATTATCATGGGGAAATGAATAATGAAATTTTCACTAAATGGATAAGTGAAAAATTAATTCCCAATTTAGAAGAGCCATCATTAATTGTAATGGATAATGCTCCATACCACAGTGTGCTTTTAGAAAGGCAACCTTCCACTAGTTCAACTAGAAAGGAAATTATTACCTGGTTGACCACTCACAAGATCAAGTATGAGGCAAAACTTACAAAACCTGAATTATTACAAATTGCGAAAATGAACAAAAAAGAGAATATGTATATAATTGATTAACTACTAAGAGAACACGGCCATGAAGTGTTGAGACTACCTCCTTATCACTGTGAATTCAACGCTATTGAATTAATTTGGGCAAACTGCAAGTCATATTACAATAAGCATTTTGGTAGAGATGGACATTCTGATAGTGCTGTTAAAAATTTGTGGAAAGAAGCACTAAACCAATGTAACACAGAAATTTGGGAAAAATGTGTGAAACATACTCATGAAATTATTACAAAATGATATATCCGAGAAAAAAATATGGTTGACACTAACATTCAACCAATCATAATAGACACTGATAATATGAGTGACTCAGATTCTGACAGTGAAGAATTCTTAAATTTATGATTGGCTACGTGGCTGTTTAGTGTATGAGGCTTCAATAAATATTTAAATTATATTATTGTTATAATAAATTCCGAGTCACCACGGAGGCCTCGGGCAAACTCGCCTACGAAACACCGGTGACAAGCAGAAGGGAATAAAGAGCTAGCAGAGGACGAAGCCGCCTAGGAACGAGCACATCACCGAGGATGGACCTGCAGATGCTGTCCACAACACCGACCATCGCCTGTGAGTGTTTTGTGCAGTGTAGTGCTACGCGAAGTGTAGTGAGTATTAACAAAATAGAGAACTGTTAACAAGTGACATTTTTATGCATTTTATTTTGTATATTTTCGACTTGTAAAAAAAATTGGACTTGGCAACGCTGTGGTCAAGCGTATGAAGTGCAATTGGCTTGCTCCTGCATTTAACTCGAAAATCGAGAGGTGCAGAGTGAAATAATTGTGCCAAAGCAGCAATAAGTGTGTGTAAAGTTACAACGCGTATCGCAGTGTGAATAAACCGATGGTAAGTGGCTAATTACAAACAATAATAAGCAAAATCAGTTATTCCGATACGACCAGTTGCTGTTGTTTAATAATTAGCGATAAGAGCAAAAGAACTAATTCGACCACGGGATTCTGACCGGTAGAAAAGCGGTGTTGCCGTAATGCAAAAATAGTAAAGAATTTAAAGAGAACAGAATCATACATTTTATTGTGAAGAAAACCACAGCTTAATAGAAAACCGATCGATAAAAGCAAGACTTACGACGGGTTGACCGGGGTCTACTTTTTACGCGATTGGATAGTTGAACTGAATAGCTAATATCACGAGCACAACTAGAAAGCAATGGATAGTGAAGACGAGTACACCACGGATGAGGGCAAAAGAAGGAAAGGCTCATAAACATTTGGTTTTGGAAAGTGCGTAAAAACTAAAAGATCTCCAGACATGAAAGAGAAAAAAAGAAGATAACTCAGGAAAAATAATGGATATGATCCAAGGCTTGCAACGATTTATAGAAGCAGAAATGAAGGAAATAAAACAAGAACAAAAAAAATGTCTAACAGAAATTCAAGATTTGAAAAAAGAAAATACGCAAATCAGAAAAGAAAATCAAGAGATCAAGAAAGATCTTATACAAGCAATGGACAGAATTGAAAGACTTGAGAACGAAAAAAGAAGAAATAATGTAGTAATTCAGGGACTACCAATAGAAACAAATAACGTAGAAACAGTGAAGAGCAATATGCAAAGATTTATAAGTACGCACCTGAACATTGAGATTGAAATAGAAAGGGCAATTAAAATAGGAGAAAAGACCTGTTTATTAGAACTAAAAGATAGTAACCAAAAATACACACTTATGAACAATAAAGCCAAACTAAGAAATTTTAGAGAACACAAAGTATATATAAATGATGATATGAGCGAACAGCAGAGAATTATTCAAAAAGAAATTAGAGCTAAAGCTAAGGAAGAAAAGAGTAAAGGGAATACAGTCCAAATGGGGTTTCAAAAACTTATAATAAATGGAGAAGTATGGACGTGGAAAAGGGAGATAAAGGCTCTCAACAAAGCCAGGAAGAAATAGCAGACCATCGGCCAAATAGAACTGATCAACATGGAATACCAAACAAGGCGAGAATAAGGTCTAACGATATAATTGAATTGGACAAAAAAGAAAATATAATACAAGATCAAGGGACAAACAGACTACAAAAGTACATAAAAATGGCTACGTGGAACGTCAGAAGCCTTAATGGAAAAGAGAGAGAATTAATAGATGAATTTGACAAAGCACAATTAGATTTTTTGGCGATCACGGAAACTAAAAAGAAAGGTCAAGGAATGGATGAATTGGATAAAGAACATGTATTTTTGTACAGCGGAGTCAGTATCGATAGTAGAGCGGCAGAAGGTGTAGGATGCCTAATGAGAGCAAGTTATATGTCATATGTTAAAAATTGGAAATGTATATCACAAAGAAATTTAAAGATAGAGATAACACTAAATAAATCAGAAATAACAACTATATTAGTCACATATGGCCCGAATGATGACGAACCATTGAAAGTTAAAGAAGAATATTGGGAAGAGCTCAATGATGCCATAGAAAATGTGAAAGGTAGAATAGTCATTCTAGGCGATATGAATAGCAGAGTTGGTAAAAGAGACGATGATAACATAGATATTATGGGTATGCAGGGAGAAGATACAAGAAACCATAATGGAAGAAGGATGATAGACTTTTGCATGGAGAATAATTTGATTATCACCAACACATTTTTTGAACACAAAGATATACACAAGTTCACGAGAGAAGTCAGGAGCAGAAATGAAAAATCAATTCTAGATTATGTTCTCATTAATAGAGAATTTAGGAAAGAGGTCACTGATGTCAGAGTTAAAAGAGGCCCGGAAATCTCTAGTGACCACTATCTGGTAATGGCAAAGATAAGATTACCCCAAAAAACCCCTAAAACCACTCAACAAAGAACAAAAAATAATAAAGTGAACGAGAATATCCAAAACTATAAACTAAATGATCAAAAAGTCGCGGCCATGTTCAAAAGTAAAATAGAAGAAAAACTAGCCAAATTAACTAATGCACATAGTACTGACAACTTACAGGAAACTTGGAAACAATTTAA